TTAAGTAACAATGCGCTAAAGAACTAGGGAACTCTCTATTGTTCTGCGGCATAGCAAGTTCCCCATGTACGAATGTCTTGGTTTTCACACTGATTATGTATCCATCTGTGGGTAACACATTTTTGAAATAAAATGTGGATAAACTCTATTTTGAAACAAAGTTTCTTTTGTATTAAAAGCTCTTATCCAATCATAAGCACTCAAAACAATAGCCAAAAGATCCTTCTAATTTGCAATGTTCCCCACATAGTCTAAAGATAGTTGAATCAATGAATACAAGGACGACATTAAAATGAATGTCATTTTAGGAATAATGACTTATCGCTGATTTGTTTGCAATTTCAGCCGCTCGGTTTCGACTCAACAAGCGGGGTAAAACCGGTCGTAAACTGGACAAAGAAAATCCTGCTGATATCGTCATGGATACAGGTTAAACAAATTCTAGACAAAAATTTGTCGACGTATCCGATCAATTGTGGAAGCTGATTCTGTTATATAGGAGTAATGCTGTAGCGAATGCAGCCAAATACTGCTGTGTGACGCTGACTGGAATAATATCTATTGGTTAAGTCAACTAATTATTTTCCGTCTCACAGCAGTATTTGGGCGCACTTGCTACACCATTATGCTGCTGAAGTATAATATCAACTGATGTTATAAATCTCGTGATCTTGCGAAAATTGGATCGAAATTCTCTTATTTTTTTGCTATGAGGAAAGAACTAAAAGCTGACTGCAGTTGAGGACGAGTCATACTTAGAATTATAGCACTCTAAAAGTAAACCTAGTTGAATAAAAAATGCATACAATGCGCGAATACAAGRTCGAMGWTAAAATRAATGTCTTTTTTGGAATATTACTGGTTTCTGTTTGCAATTTCAGYGCGTCGCTTTCTCAACAAGCCTGGTAAAACYGGTAAACTGGACAAAGCGGTCCCTGCTGATTTCATCATGGATCCACCAGGACCTTCTACAGCTAGATAGTACTCAAATAATATACTCATATTATGGGTATCTATGTAATCAGTTAAATAGAAAAACACAGCTTGTGTAATTTTGAATAAATGGCAACTACTACCTATTAGTAAGTGTAGCTTTTGATTCAATCCTCCCCACTACAAGACCGCCCCAATCTACCAAAAAGAAAGAAAAGAACAGAAAAGAAAAGAAAAGA